ATATTCTAGGCAGCTATGTTTATGCGTCAGTTGGTTGAGTGACCTTTGGAGAACATAATGGAAGATACGTTAAGTATGAGTAGGTTAGCTCCACCTGAATAGGCAGCTGTTAGCCAACCAGAACATAAGTGCTGCAAACAGACGTGAGGTGGGTCCCTTCCTCTCCAGCCGCATGAAGCCTGTGTTTGCCTGTGAGACTCACACAGCAGTGAAGGCATGCATCAGGTACTGTGGGAGCCGACAAGGGGCCAGTGGGCTGAAAGGTCTTGGTGAGTTGACCTGGGGACCCAAGTGCCACACATGATGCATGTCACACAGGCAGAGCTGCCCCTACCCAGCCCAAACTCTACCCGTAAAAGGCTGGCTTCCGTCAAGCCGGACTCTGGGGCAGTCAGGAGGTTGCAGCTGTCGCCTCTCTGGCATTTGTCTTTTTCAGCCCCTGCAGGTGGGTGGATCCCGTACTGCCACTGCCCCCACTGACAGTCTCTCGGGAATGGCCTTGGGTGCCCTCTGCAGCTGAGTATTTTCTTTGTGCCATGGATGTGCCAGGAAACTCGACAGCCCCTGCTCTGCCAGGAGCTGATGGCCGCAGCCCCACAGTGCCCTTTAACGAGTGCTGTCTGTGTCAGTGGCTCCAGCTAAGTCCAGTTCCACTCAAAGTTCTCTGTTGTTAGCGGTGAGAGTGGTGAGTTTTTGCCAGCCTCCCCACTGCCCCTGAGTTCCGCCATGTACAGTTAGAAGAGGAGACTCCTTCTTGAGCAAGGTCTTTGATATCTGGCAATGTTGGAGGAGAGGTGAGATGGTGCTGGCGTGACAAGGGGAGCCCTCATCTTTTCCCGAAGACCTGACGGACTGTCCTTTTCGCCTCCTTGACCTGAAGCTCATTTGTCTTCTCAGCATTTGTACATTGGGCTATGATTTTTTCAGGATTACAGTAAGAATTCTTGCCAAGTGGTAGAAGATTGATGGCAGACTCCAGGGGAGTTTGGCTGGTTCTCAAAGTGAGTTTGGTCTCAAAATAGCAGTCATTTGATTCTCCCGGTACTGCACACTCTACCAGAGCTGAAAGGGATCAAGAAGAGATAGAAAGAAGACCCTCCCTAACCCCCCACCAGGAAATATAACATCAACTTCAAACACCTGATGAGATGAGGGAGCCTCTTCTGAACCCAGAAGGGGAGAGGGAGTGAAAGTATCCGAGCTCATCTCAGGAAGCTCACCTCAGCTCATCTGGCTGCCACATCACATCATTGGGAGGGATTTAAATACAGCCTGAGAATTTATATTTTTCAAGAACTACTGAGAATTTTGAAAAGTAGATATTTAAAATGATGTAGGTAGACTTGTTGTAATAGTGTCCCCAAAAACATTTGGTTCAAGACATCTCAAGTGAAGTTAGAATTAAGGTTACTAGGGTATATATATGCCGTCACGCAATTTTTTTCTAATATTTTAACAGTGAGAGTATTGTTCCTGAATCAATGTTTTTTTCTCACTTCTTTTTGTCATTACAATGGGTTGCTAGTTTCACCCTCTGTGGTAGCTTCAGGTTACCTCGCCAGGAGGTTCACTTGCCTCCAGTGAGGGCAAAATGTGAATATTGTGTTGGTAGTGACATAATCCAGAGAAGATGCAAAAACAGAAAGGAGTCAGGAAGTGTTCAACTCCAGTTCATAGATGTTACCTCCAATATGGATACCTGGTATTTTACTTTTAATCATTTAGAACTTTTCTCTAAAATCCACGCTACTAATTCCAGACAAAAACTGCTTTTATATCTACACATATATTTATAATATAATAGTTTATTTTTACATCATTTTATGCATTTTTCCATCTCAGTTGCAATCCCCTTGGGTTTCCCATCACCAAATCACCCATGTTCCCTCCCCCCCCCACTGTTTTTGATCCCATTCCCCACCCCACCCCCATAAAATGTCTCTGGTATATAACTGTTTTTCATTATCATTATTTTCTCACCTGATCTGTTATAGGCCTGCTATGAGTGAAACCATCCAGTATTTTTCCTTTTCTTTCTGGCTTATTTCACTAAGCATGATCTTTTCCAGCTCCATCCATGTTGCTGCAAAAGGCATGTGCTTTTTTTTTTTGGTTGCTGAATAATACTCCATTATGTATGTGTACCACATTTTTTTAATCCAGTCATCCACTTTTGGGCACTTGGGCTGTTTCCATGTTTTTCCAATTGTGAATAGAGCAGCAATAAACATGGGGGTGTAGGTGTCTTTTTGAATCGGTGTTTTTGTGTCTTTTGGGTAGATACCTAGGAGTGGGATTGCTGGGTCGTAAGGAAGCTCCATGTTTAGCAAAACTGCTTTTTTTAAGTCGCATACTGCTGTTATAAAATTTACCACATAAACAAAATTTTTGTGTTTAAACAACTGTATGTTTTATCTATGGCCTCAAGAATCAAAATGCCTCAAGTAAGATCCCAGCTCCAAGTTGCATAAAAACCAGCTCCTTGCTTTTCAAGTCCATGCAATCAGTGCTTTGCACAATTCCCAAATATGTTGGTGAAATTGTTGGGTTGAAGATGAAATACTTCATGTGTAAGTGCGGGATTTCTGGAGGGAAACCATGTTCTTTATTCTTCCAGTTTCTGAACAGTGGATGGCCCAGGACAGTGCTTTCCTCTTTCTAACATGAGAGAGTAGAGAAGGATGCTCTTGTTAAGAACCTCCCTCCCACATCTCCAGTGTTATCGAGAGTGTGGCTGAGGGATCCAGAGAAGAGTGTTTGCTTTTTCCCAGGGTGCACACTATGAATCTTTACCCCTGCACACATGGTGGCTCTCAGGAGCGGCCAGGTCTTTGCTCAGAAACTCAGGACTCGGCTGCTGGCGGTGCTGACAGCTTCTCTTCTCTGGGCTTCTTCGCCACGTGCCTGTCTCCAGGGGCACCTGGCATATCTCATGTCTGTGCTCTCAGTCCTGCACCGAGTTCCTGGGGTCTCCATGCCATCTGACATCTGGTTCCAGGGAGTCTCTGGGCCAGGTTGGCTAGTCACACCCCTAAAGAGCCCAGCTGACCCCATGACAGGGTATCTCGGGCTACAGTCCTCCAGTTGGGCTCCATGCCTGTGACAAGTGTGCACAATGGATTTATTTTGCTCCTTAAAAAAATAATAATAGCTGGGCCCTCCCCAGTGGCACAGTGGGTTAGGACTCAGCACTGCAAGCTGGCCTCAGCCGCTTCAGTGCAAGTTCGATTCCGGGCCCTGGAGTTAACCCACATGGCACAGCAGACCTCTCCTGTTTCACCTGCTTCTCCCCTCAGCAGTGTACTTCGTCAATCTACCTGTTCTGCTCCCTGCTCTGTCTCTGGTGAAGCCTCTCACTGCCCCTGTGCCTCTGGCCTGTACCCCAGTTCTATATGCATAAATAAATAAATCTGATGGGAAGCCCACGGGGATGGAAAACAACTGAGATGGAAAAAGGCACAAAATGATGTAAAAATAAACTATTATATTATTAAATAAATAAATCTTTAAAAAATCTAATAGAAAGTTTGATATAATGGAGCTAAAACTTAAAATTAGATTTGGGGATTATCTATGGATTGACTTTCTTACTGTCATATCCAGAAACATTCAGTGATAGTTTTTAAACTCCCCTGTTCTTGCTCAGTACGATGTTTGTCTTCAAAGAAGGAAAGAAAAGACTTCCCTGTTAGTTTTTCTGCAATGGGACTTTTCTTACAGACTGAAGAAACTCTCCCCTAACCTCAGTAATAAGCTGGGATGAAACTGACCTGGGTTCACAGCCCATCTGGTCCCTCCCTGCTGTGTGACTTTTGAAAAGGACATTCTCTGAAGCTAGTTTCCCTAATATAGAGATGCAGATAATAGTAATTGTCATTTGTTGAAAGGCTCACCGTAGAAACTAGCACCTTAGAAACTAACAGCCCTTAATTGAGATTGGTGTTGCCATCATTTTCTAACTAGATCACATCGGACAATTTCCTTGGCCTCCCTGTCCCTCTGTGCCTGTGCCTGCAATCTAGGAATAAAGGTGATCATGATGGCAGTTCTTCCCTCTAAGGGCGTTTGGGGCCGGTTAATGTGTCTCAAACCCATAGAACACCCAAAGTAGCTAATAATCAGTGCCTGATAGGCTGTAGTCATTTTTTTATTTTCTCTATCCTTTAAATTTTTCTGGAAAGCCTATGGTAAAGATGCCTCATTCAGCTGTATTTGAGGAAAAAGTAAGGTTTACTTGTGAGGAAGATTCACCATCTTATATTTGCCCTTTGCACAAACACATACCGAGTTCCCGCTATGGCGGATATCGCTGGTTGCAGACACCAGTTGAATATCTAGTGCTGACAGTAACCTCCAAGGCCAGGAATGGAAGGGCGGGAACGATACCAAACCCTTGTGATGCGTGACTCTTGCTGGACTGTGCGTGAGAACCCAGAAAGTGAGATTAAGTGGCATTTCCTGCTTCATAGATAAGACATGAAATGACAGCCAAAACCTGAGAGGATGAACTAAGGGCAATCGGTGTGTGATTCCTGGACACCGTATTTAGGTCTAACCTGTAAGCTCCATGAAGACAGACAGAGGAGGCTGCACTTCACATTCCCACAGCAGCCAGCAAGGCCTAACACGAGCTAGAAACTCTTCCTTGAACTGTTTTTGAGATGAAATCACAACCGTAGGCCCCAAACTGAGTTTTTTCTCTGACTCAGTCAAGCCTGAGTTACAGTGCTTAATACAGCACAGAACAGAATAGTTACAAATTCAGTATTTGTTGATTGACAGAATTTTATTAATAATCTCTTGTCACTCTCTCTCTCATGCACACACAAACACACACACAGTCGCTCATATTTTCCTAGTTAGAAAAGCCACACATAAAATAGATCATATATCTCTACTCAGTTTTTAGAATCACAGCAAGTTCAGTTCCTATAACAGAAAGGAAAAGATGTCCTAGGCATCTAATCTGTCAAACTTCTGTCTCTCATTGTCATCCATAGCTCCTGAAGTCCTCGCCCAGAAACCGTACAGCAAAGCCGTTGACTGCTGGTCCATCGGAGTGATCGCCTATATCTTGTGAGTACCGCTGCCTCTCAGGCTTAAACTTTCCTTTCTGAACAAAATCACAGTGAAATGTACATCACACAAAATTTGCCTTTTTAACCATCTCTCAAAGGCACAGTTTAGCAGCACTCAGCCTACTCACAAACATGTTGCAAAAACATTCCCATCCCCTGTCTCCATCAACTGAAAACCTGTCCCCACCAGACACCAACCCTCAGCACCTCCCCACAACCCCTGCCAGCCACCAACCTCTTCTGTCTCTCAATTAACAACTCCGGATCCCACATGTAAGTGCACTGTACACTACTGTCCTTCTGTGTGTATCATACTCACTCAGCCCGATGGCCTCAAGGTTCACCCCAGCTGTAGCAAGCATCTGCATTGCTCGGTCTTAAGGCCGAGTGATATTCCATTGTCTGTCTGTAGCAAAATGGGCTTACCCATGCGTCTGCCCACCGATGCGGGGCTGTCTCTACCTACAGGCTAATGTGAACGCTGCTTCTGAGAGCACAGGTGTACAGGTCCGTGTCAGAGCCCACTTTCAGTGCCTTTGAGTGACACCCAAGGGTGCTGGATCCTGTGGTAATAGTGTTTCTCTTTTTGAGAAACCGCTGTGAGTTTTCCAAAACTGTACCACCATTTTATAGCCACAGCAGCAGTGTTCACGCAACAGCAATGAGTATCCCCACACCAGCGCTTCTGCCCTGTCCTCTTTTGTACCAGCCATGGGCATGAAGCGCTGCTTCATGATGGTTTTGATTTGCATTTTTCTTATGATTTCTGATGTTGTATATTAAATCCACTCTTAATATTGTGTTTTTTAGCTTTTATATTTGATTTTATTCTTCATTTACCTTGTAAAACACTGTGTAGTTGAACATTTAAAAAGATCAAGAGCAAGTAGCAAGCATATAGTATTTATAGTCTTTCACTCATTCGCTGCTGCACATAAAATGCCACCAGGAAGGTTATTCATGATCCTGGTTAGGACCCACCCAGCCCCTCCTCTACGTGATCGTCAGCAGCCTATGAACCTTCTCCATTGTAGTGGGGCCCTCTTTTCTGACTTGGCTCGGAGTCCACCAGTTCTGTCTGGTCTACTTCATCAGCCTCTTCCACTTGCTTCTCAGATTGGAGTTTTTTCAGCAGAGAGGTTTGTTTATTGGAGAGAAAAACCATTCTCAGGAAAGTTTACCATAAATCTGGTGATTAAGTCGCCCCTTTCAGATGGCCCCCGTAACTGGCATGCCCTCATTTAGCACTCATTTGCCATTCCATGCTTGACAGATTGACCGGGATGGAGGCGATGACTGCCAGTCAGTGGTCAAGAGCAAGCACTGGCCTTTGGGCACCATGAGGTTTCAGCTGGGCATCCATCCACTTGCAAAGGCCACAACAGGGTGGCCCTTTGACCTAACATGGTGGTTCGCCTCCTGCCTGTTGGTCTCCTTCACAGCTTTTCCCGTTGCACTTTGGCTTACCCAGGGATACAAGCCACTAGAAAAATATTAGGACCTCCCCAAAGCAAATCACATTTTAAAAACTATGAAGAAAAGCAGCACTAAGCCTTTGGAGCCCTTGTTTCTCCTCTGGTGCCTTGTCTCCATGACCCAGGAAATGCAGTCATAAGCCATACACTTGCTCTAATTATTTTGGGATGACAGGTTTTGATTTTTGTTGTTCTGTTTTGTTTTGCTGAAGTTTACTATAAAGTTAACTTTAAATTGTAATGTCATTTTTACACTAATCCTTTCCAATACTTATTATGGAACATAATTCGAGGCAACTTTTTAGGCCAACTTGTTTTGTAACTGATAGGAAATGAATTTCTCCTCTTCATCATCCCCTAGGAAGGGAACAGGTTCTAGCAGACAGAGCCGCCCTGCACACAATGAAAGACTCTGGGGGATTCTGCCTGGGAAAGGCTACTCACAGAGGGTGGCATCCTTGGGGAATGCTGGAAACATCTCCTGGTCCCCTGCTGCATCGTCTCATTCTCTAGGAAGTAAATGCTTTTTCCACATACATTCAGCTTGTGCAGTTTGTTGTGAATTTACTTGACAGTTCCTGTAGGTTCTTGCCATCATCACAATTGAGTTTTATTCATTCAGTTATATTCATTTGGTCTATATGGCTCCCACTATGGAAATTGATAAAGGTCAGATTCACCTGAGCTATAAGACCAACATATTGCACTTTCACAGTGTTTCTCCTTTCAATGCATGTTAACCATCTACAGCAGTAGTTTCATATGGGGTGGGTGGCAGGTTTTTGACTCTTTTGAGAATCTCATGAAGTATATGGATTCCACTCTAATAAATTCATACACGCACACATACACAATTCTACATATCATGTTAGGGGATGGTTTCCTGGGGAAGGACATACTGGACATGGACCCCAGACTCTTACCAGAGCTCCTGCCTTACCCAGCTTGACTGTGACAGGCTTTAAGAAATGATAGGCCTGTTCCCTTCCTCCAAAAGCCTGAAACTGGTGTCACTGAGAGAAATTTTCCCTGGGGCTAGGCAAGAATTGGTCTGTTCTTATGTGTTCCTTTACATATGTTTTAAATCTTGAACTATGATATGTACAATTGTGTATTTAATAATTTCCCTGAAGTCATCTTTAGGATGGTTATCAGGACAGCTGTGAGGAGATGCATATTGGCAGCTGTTTCTCTAAGCAACACTGTCTTTGTCAGTATGGTTGCCACAACAAGATGCCATTATCAGTGTGGCTTAAAATTTGCTTCTCACAATTTTAGAGGTTGAATGTCCAAGGTCAAGTGCTAGCCAATTTGGTTCCTAATAAGGGTCCTCTTCTTGGCTAGATTGTCACTGATTCTGAAGGGTTTTCATCTGGTTGTTGCCAATGAACCCCACATACAGTTTGAAAGAGCCAGTATTAGGGAGGAACCATGGTCCTTCCCACGAGCCACACTGCCAGTGCTTCCATGTCCTTCCTTCACCTAAAGACTGATGAGCAACGGGCTGAGCAGGCTGAGGCCAGCAGGCAGTGTGCTGGACAAGCCAACTGTCCCCTGGAGACCATGCAGAGCTCCTCATCCTTCATGTCACCTGTAACGGAGAAGAGGTGATTCTCTGCAGTTTTCCAGCGTGCAGCATTATTACTTTCATCTGACGAACCTGTCACACTGAGCTCTCAGGTTGCAAACACAAGTAGCTGTGACAGGCCACAGCTCCGTATTTTCTTCTCTCCGAGTGCTGGGTAAACATTCCTCATTTTGTCAGTGCAGATACTTGATGAATTGGCTTTTGATCATCCGCACTCATTTCTATGTTATTCATCATTTGGAAGAAGTTTTTTTTTTTTTTCCTATCAAGGATACTCATTTTTTAAAAAAAAAAACACATTTGATGAGTCCTTATCCTGCCAGGAATCTATCTTTGGGAAATTAGAACTTGCAAAAAAAAAAAAAAATTGCCTGCATTGCTGAAGCTACTGGGAAAGATTGAGGATAGGGTGTGCTCTCGGCCCTGATAACCATATTGGTATCTGGTCGATGGTTGACTAAGCTCAGATAGCCCAAGCTCTAAGGAAATACATTTCCCCATGTGGAATGACAGTCAGCTGTCATCACTCAAACTCAATTTTGTAGCCAAGTGTAGACTGCCTTTCTTCTCCCAACATCAAGGAGATTATTTAATGATGATTTGCCTACCTTATGCTGTGGGAAATACAGTGGTTGTTTGTTGATAGAGAAACTGAGAAGGTTCCAAGGAAATCAGTCATTGAAGGTGAGCGCATTAGAGCTTGGGGTCGGGCTGGACAGACAGACTTGCCATGAGTGGTGAGGGCATTTACCTACGCTATCACCTCTGATCTCTCAGCCTAGAGAAATTCCAGGTAAAATGCTTATGAGATTATGGTCATCCCTTGATTTTCAACTGGATGACTACATTGTTCAACTTTTAAGACAAGGGCATAGGACAATGGGTTGGCTCATCTGCACAGTGCAGTTAGCTCTAAAAGTGGAACTAAAACTCCCCATCTACATACTATTGCTCCATTTTCTGAGACAAAGGATATCTCTCAAAAGATAGTTGCCTTTACTTTGACCCGCTGACAGCTGCCCCTTTATGGACACATGTGCTCCAAGGAGAGAGCATGAACCGAAGCTTCAGGAGCAGAGAATGCAATGTTATTCTCAGTCTGATGAGATGACTGGGAGCTTGATGGCTTGGGGTGGTGGTCACACTCAGTAGCAGGGTGTTAGCACACTAAAGAATACGTCACTGGTGTTACCAGTAGGCAGCAATCACCGTGTTAGAGTCAGAAGCTCTGTGAAGTGGACACATTCCTTCATTTTGGCTGCCGTGGGCCCACCATCTGGACTCTGGCTTTCAAAGTTTAGAGACTAAATTAGAACTAATTATTTGGCTTGCTCAGACAATCTCTGTGAATTGACTCATACCCACCATACTCAAAAGAGATCTGAAAAATAAGTCCACACAATCAGAGTGTTGATTTACTAGATCATAATGAGATTTGTGCCCTGCAAGGTAATTGAACAAGCATGTCATTAAAGTGGCGTGTTCTCTCCCTGTCCTGCCTGCCCCCCATGGGACATGCTGTATGAGAAAGCAAATTCAAACCAGAAGCTTCCTTTATGAGCAAGGAATCAGAACAGTGGGGACTTGGAGGGTTCCAAAAAGCCTATAGTGGACCCAGGTCCATTTCAACGAAAGTGCATGTCAGTCAAGCAGCACAGCTGATCTGTCCTTACATCGCTCACACATTCCTCCTTACACACCAGCTACCCCTGCCGCGCTAGTATCACTGTTTTTGTTTCAGCAGGCATCAATTATTTTAATTCTCAGATTTACTGATTGTATTTTGCCTACAACCTTTCCATTGGTTGCTTTCCAAGGATTTGCAGCAAGGTGGTTTACCTTCTGTAGTAGTCTACACTGAGTGCACATGTGGACAGGTGGATGTCACTGGTGGATTTTGAGTCCTGAGAGCTTTAGTGTCAGACTCTAGTGCCG